ATTAGGTCGGAGGCCATCGTTAGTAGGTTGGAGGCCATCGCTACTAGGGTGGAGGCCATCGCTATTAGGGTGAGGGCAGGCGGATATATTTTCGCAGAACTGCCGGAGACTGGAGACTTCCTGTACGTCTGTGCACTCCAGAGTCTGACTTGCAGCACTCTGTCATTAGCTATCTTTCTCAGAAAGCTTCCCAAGCTAGGCGAAAACCGCAGGAGCTTGCGACATGTTCACGAGAGCAACTTGCTAGCGGATTCATTCCTCAGGAGCATTGTCGTAGTTCCTGATCTTGTCTGCATGTGCTCCACGCTTGCAGTTCCTGGGCAAAAAGGAACGGTTACAAACTTCATCAATCCCTCAAACTTCATCAATTCAATATATAACACTTTACCATTCTGAAAACCCACCAAGAGAATGGACACAGCTAAGCTTCAGATCGTACACGACTCTGCCGTCCTAAGTTGGAAACAGAGTTGTGCAGCTAAACCAATTGATTGCAAATGAAAACATGCTACTCCTTCAGAAACTCAACATCTTGTTTGAAGGAGCATGAACCCATATGTTGTTTGAAAGCGCCACTTGGGCGCCAACATTCTCAGCACGATGTCAGTTGCAATTCAATACTGCATTCCGGACTGTTGAGAGTAGACAAGATTGAATTTTGTGTGGCAAGGAGCATGGAATTCACACAGAAAGACTGGAATGCTGTCTTCTATAAACATGTCGCCATGCCTCTTGTTAGCAGCAAAAGCCTACTACATTGTTTGAATTTGTAGAAGCATCGCCTACACTGTATATACACTATTCACAATCTGTGTACTGCTTCTACAAAATCACACATGCACGTCTAATCTCTTCTCCCGGCGCTTTCTGGTGTGGATGTCTTGCTGCTTTTGTCAAGAAACTTTGAGACGAATGTTGTCCACAACTGCATCCATCCAACGATTCCGAGAATCACTCCAGTACTGAACCTACAAAAAAAGAGCGGGTTCAATATGCGTGTTCACAATCAAGTCTGAAATATGCCTGGTCTTTGATCTCAAACTCAGCAGTGGCTAGAATAGCCTGGAGCAAACTTGCACCGCTGGCGACGATCCATTGGTCGGGCATCCTTCGGAGTCTGTGTTCTCAGCTGACCTTCAAACCCTCGACACCGAAGGACACCTAAAATAACCTCTTGGCAATAGTCATCTCATAAAGGAAACGTGAACAACCCCGATGTGTCAAAGTTCTCCAAAAGTTGTGAGCAAAGTAGTCACTGACAAACATTCAGAGAATTGGTGTTGATTGGTTTAAGCAAAGCCATGCTGGGGCCCAAACCAGCTCCTCTTCAGTGTACTGCGGACCTAGCAAATTTTCTCAAGGAGAACAGATGTGTGACAGGCAACGGTCTTTCTGAATTGTCACTACAAAGTTGCGCCAGGAGGCCTGGTATGTTCGCCTTGGATAACAAAGAACATGTTCGCCTTTTGTCACATGACCCTCCAGATGTTGACTTCATCTCATGCGGGCGAGAATCTGTTCCGTAACCTGCACGACGAGAACCTTGGAGGTACACTAGGTCCATGAAGCGTGACAAACAACAAAGTTAGATAAGAGGCTGTTGAACGGGTTCGTGATGCAAAACAAAAGTCGAAACGTACTTGCTTCAGAGCTCCCAGCGTTCATCTGGTATCTCCGTAGGCATGCCAGTCATGGTAGGCATCATGTCTTCCTGCAAAATGAAAATGCTCCTGTCCCACCCACGATCGATCTAGGAGCTGTGAACTCTTCGCAAGACTGGGCATAAAATGATCTGTCGCCTCCAATGCCTCCTCTTCTTCATCTTCAAACTGACGTCGAATTCAAATTGGTCCGAATGGGACCGAATAAGGTCGTCTAATTGCAATGGAGCAGTCCCAACAGCTGAATCTGTCTATGTTTGCCTCATCGTCCTGAAGCTCCTGGAACTCCTGTGCAGATTGAGCAGGGACACATGTCTGGATGCCAGTAGCCCAACCTGAAGCTTCTCTGTAATGGTCATCTCGCCAGGTAGTATCTCCTCAAACTTCTGCCAGCCACCAGTCAACATCAGAGCAAAAAGCTTCAAGGAATATAGTGAAAAACAGAAAAGAATAGGATTGTTTTACAAGAAGCTATTAGGGGATCCTGGCATCGCTACTAGGAGCAAGGACGCTACTAGGGGCTCCTGGCCATACTACTAGTAGCAAGAAGCTACTAGGAACAAGAAGCTACTTTAAGCAGCCTGTTAGGCGATGCCTTTTATATGCTCTGAAAAGCCCGTGCCTCGAAGTGAGCCCAACAGGCTGGACATTGCGTCATGTCGGGCTTCCGCCCTAGGCACGAAAATGAAAGAGTGCCCAGTTGCTGCAAATTCCTTTGCTCAAAATAAGTGCTGAAGATGTTCTCGGCACCTAAAGAAAAACCATTGATCGAAAAGGTGTTGTTATGTTCAAAACATGTTGCAAACACTGACAAAAACCTTTGCTTCTCAAGGGCAATGCTGGCCCGAACTCAAGGCCACACCTGTATCATCAAGCATACTTCCCGTACGCCATACTGTGAGCACGGACAACTGACCACAATCTAGCAGTCCACTCAGCCAGAATGAGTACTTATAGGCAAACATTTATCAGGCCAAAACACCTGACAACGGGTTTAACTAAGAACCTCCAGCCTGTTTGAACGCGGACATACCCCTTTAGCGCTTTATCTGAGAACCTTAATCTGAAAATATAGGACACAAAACAAAACATAGAACGCCTACATGAAAACAATATATAATTTGTGATGCATGGCATCGCTTTTGATCAAAAACATGCAAGCTCAACAATCAAGGCTCGCAAGAAAAAAGAAGGATGCCGCAGAGCCTACACAACCTTGAAGGAATGACATCCCAAAGCTTCCGGTAGGTCTGTGCTTGTTAACAATCACTTACTGTAGATATATTGCTCTATCTCAGCTCAAAGGTGCATATGAGCTGAGTTTCTCCAGGCCAATTCCAAGAAACAAGTAGAACACAACACACCTCATACTCAATTACAAAGACAGGACATTCTGCACGAGTCACGAGTGGAGCCGCAGCTCATGCACGCTTGGCCTTCAGGCGAGCAAAGTTCTGACAGTAACTTCCTAGTTAATATCAACAAAAAGGGGCAAGAAATATCTGCTCTTCAAGGTATGCCTGGAATCTCTGATTCGTTACAAGCTCAACCTGCCTGTCAATGAATTTTCAGCAACTAAGTCCCATGCGCTTCAGGATGTTGTCAAGCAGGCCGTCGTCTTCAAGGCCTTGCAGGTCGGTGCCATTGCCCACCTCAGAGAACAAACCTCCTCCGCCTAGTAGCTTCTTGTTTCTCTTCTTGCTACTAGTAGCGATGCCAGGAGCCCTTAGTAGCGTCCTTGCTCCTAGTAGTAAGGCCAGGAGCCCGTAGTAGCTTCTTGTTCCTAGTAGCTTCTTGCTTCTAGTAGCGATGGCCTCCAACCTAGTAGCTCTGTCGCGTGCATGCATGCGTTTCACACAGAAGCAAAGGAATAGAATTACACTCCACAATGTCAACTTTCCAATTCATCAAGGTTGCAAACTGGCCATCGATAAAAACCTTGAATGTCGCAAGCAAAACAAGGCTTCTCAGTTTGTCCTTTATTGACCCTTCTTTCCATTTCAGCACATTCCAAAAATCTTCGAGCAGCCTGAGGAAGAATCAGGTCATTATTGTTGCCACTTCGAAGTCTACCATCTGCATTCAGCTTGGCAATTGCCTGTCAAAAGCAAAGATTGCGAATGCTAAAGCAAAGTAATTAGCGCTCGGACTCGGCTGGTCCCATGATCGCACTCGGCGCTCCACTGCACTCCTTGTTCTCTGAATCACCGCTTCCAGCTTGGCGAGCATCACGGTTGAAATCAATGATCTTGTGGTGGACCTGTTGCCAAGCAAAACAAAACACATGTTTAAGCCAAAAAAGAAGATATCTATCTTCGCTCTTTCCTCTTTCTCTCTCGTCATTTCCGCCGTTTGATCTGAAGCTTGGAGGGTAAGGAGAAGACACCCTTGATCTCCAAGAGGTCCTGCATCAAAACGGCAACATGTAACATGCGGTGTTGATCAGCAAGTGACAAGCACAAAACAGGAATGTTAAGTTTCCCAAGAACCAAATCAATCATGCAAGAGGTTCTTCAAGAAAGCTTCCCCCACCCTCACGCTGGGGAGCTTCCTTGAAGAAGCCTGAGCTACCTACTTACCCCTTACTACTACCAATACTAGCTGGCTGCTAGCTCTTAGCCACCCCTCATGGCCTACCTATCCCTTTCAAAGAAAAAGTAGCACAATGTTCCACGCAGAATGCGGAAGGTGGTCCCTGGCGCGCTTTCCCGCATTGAACTCCGTGCGCTTGGCACCGAGGGAGGTGACCAAAACAACCACTTCCGCCACATACCTAGCGAGAGCTTCCTTGCAAACTGGAAAGCGGTTCTGAACTTGCAAACTGAAGTTGGAGGCCCTCACTATTCGGTTGGAAGCTGGAGAACTGCAGATTTCATTGCCCCGGCCCCAAGTGCTGGATATACCGGTTGTGCACATTCAATTCAACAATCAAATTTGATCAAATTTGTGGATGCAGGTGGTTGTTGCCAAGGAGCTTAACGTCAGGCTGCACTCGCACGGGACCAGAAAACATGGCGCAAGGACATCTCTGGCCCAACTATTTCGGACTCCTTCAATTGTGCTTGGTCTTCTTGTGCTGAAATGTACAAAATCGAACTCTGACCAGTTCAAGCAATTGCCAATGGTTCCTTGATTGTGAGAAATTGGAATAGCTTGAATGTGTGCTGTGATATTGAGAAATCTGCCAGCAGTTAGAACCAACAGGAACGCAACGCCAACTTTGATCACTCAAAATCGTTGGAAACAATTCGGGAATTCCCTTCGGGTCTGATCGAAAAAGGACAATGATGAGTGTGTTGTGTTGAATGGAGCTGGTCTTGTCAAACGAGGTGGCATCACCACTGCCTCTGTTTCTTGGACCTGGCCAACAGAACAGCGGAAGAATACAATGCCACTCTCCTGACTCCTGATCAGTCACAAGTCTAGCACCCACCTCCAGCAAACTCAGGAGTCTTCTCTCTCTGGAAGTTTCGCCTGGCCAAAATGGAAGCCGAGCGCCCAAAAAAACAACCTCGTGCAAAAACCCAAGATAGAAGGACGTGCAAGTTCCCACATGACCAAGGTGGAAAATCGCCACAGGTCGCATCATCTGTGATGGCCTCAAACCTAGCGATGGCCTACAGTTTGTTCTTTCAGTCTTTCACATCGAGCTCTCAGAATCCGTCTCCAGAGTTTTAACAGCCATCTCTGTCATAGCTGGTCTGCTAGTTTGCAAGGGCAGTGCTTCCAAGGATGATTTGTCAGCGATCAAAAACTGTCTTTATGCCGTTGGCCTTTTGAAAGCACGCGAAAACAATGCGGGGCCAATGACCCACTACGAAGCCATTCTAGCCATGGCCTTGATCGTTCATTGCCACCGTATTGCTGGATGGCCTGACAACAGCAAAAAAGAAAGCTTCATGCAAAATCAGTGCTTTTGATTTGTGCCTCGTGTAGCAGCTTGTGCCCTTCGAAACCATCCTGCATGTTCTTAGAACCAAAAGAAAACGGTTCGTTTCTGTCAGATCTCTCGAATGCTCGTACAACTTGGGACAGTGCTAAGAGCGAAGACTCATCAAATCGCGCTGCCCGAATTGGTTTGGACATGTGGCGGGATACTGAGGAGGCCTGCGTGAAAATATCGAAACTTGGACATCCAAAAAACTTACTATGAAAATCCTATAAGCACAGCATCACACTGTGCCCTGCACTTGTTGCAGTGTTCTGCTTGGAAGATTCCATGGTTTTCACAGGCTGAGTTGCTAAGCACAGAAGGTCAAGATCACATCATCGCTGAGTCATCACGTCCACAAAACATGATTGGCTTGCATTGAAGACAAATGTATTCTCGCTTTTCGTACTTTCGAAGCTCAAGCAAAGACCGTGGCAGGAATGGATTGGCTCCTGGCACGTCAAGTCAAGGCACAGACTGAAATGGGCATAGAAGCCCATTCTAAAGTGCGGACGTCTGCCGTCCGCACTCTGAATTAAATCACTATACAATTGCAGAGATGCCTGAACAGTCCACGGATGTCCAAGCGATTTTACTCTCGCTTCGTGGATTTTTCAGAAAAATCTGCACAAAACTGAATCTGTAGCAAGGGAAATATAGGAAAAGAAAAAGAGCTTAGCAGTAGATGAGTGCTGTGACTCGGATGCTTCAGCCCGGCGACGAATTTCAAGTGTTCATCTCCACTTGATCACAGCTCCAAGGATACCGTTGTGATCTTGCTCGAACGCTGTACAAAGGATGGTCTGGACTCGAGGACAGTCTGCCTTCAAAAGACCAGGTGTCTGTCATGTCTCACAGCTTGTTTGGAGATTCTAGACTGATGCACCTTGACTTGCGAAGCCGAGATCGTTTTGGTTTTGCCTCCTGAAATGGAACTCAAATTGATGCCAAATGCTGCAACGATTCTATTTCATATATTCGAAACTACTGTATATCATATTGTATCCTTGTCCTTTTTCTGATCCTGACATTTAGCCAAGAAAATAAGGTGGCGATCAGTGTCCTCGAGCAGTGATCCTGGCGTTCGCCTCATTCTGAGATGGTATGAGATGCTCCACTGCACGAAGCACATAGTTTTAATGAACAATCCACTTTGACAAGTTTCAGGCAAGCACTGCGAAGTGCATGTAAGACAAGTGTCAAGCACTGTGAGTAGTAGTCATTGCCCCAAACACATGTGAGGCCTTCCACGCAGCAGTTGAAGCCTTGGTACTCGAACATGACTTGACCGCACAAGGCTGAAGACATTCCCACAGCCAAGGCCAGTCTTTGTCCCATCTCTTCTCAAGTGCATCTGCGAAGCCAGACCACCCTTTTCCACCACACCTTGGTGTCTCAAAGCAAACAAAAACGATCAGTTTCAAAGATCGGCTGATTCCTGCACTTGTCCACCTCTGTCTTGCCACTGCAGCTTGGGGACTGCTGCCAGATCTGCCCACATGAAGCAGAGTTTGACTCATCCAGGATGCACTGCGAGAATGAGATGTCCTGGCACAAAAGAATGCGCATCCTGCACAAAGGAATGTCTTTTACGAAGCCAAGTGTCTCATGTTAAGTCTACTTGGCTCAGCATGGCTCTTCATGCTCACTTAATGCTGTTTCATCCGATCCACAAGGTGCCTTGTATTCACATTTCAGGCCAGAGACACAGCAAGTGCTCCCAAGATAGTCTTGACCGCCACACCTTGGAAGATCGACAGCAAATCGACGACAGGCTTCGACAGAAACGCTCTAATCGCTTGGGCTTCTGCCGGTCATGAAGCTGTCCACAGGAATGACTTGGATTTGGAGTGGTCGTGCTGCCTTTGCAAAGTTTTGTCCTATTCTCGCACCTTGACCTTTGTGTCAAGTCTGAACGGCTTGCTATAAATTGCCCTTAGTTATGAGTTATAAGTCTTGTGAAGCAAAGCAAGCTGAGTTGTGACGGGCATTTCACACACTGCAGTTGCTTTGAGGTCTCAAGATCGAACCACATGTTGATTCCTTCTGCACTGCTCCAGTTCAAGCCTCCGAGGTAGCGGAGACAAGTGTAGCCAACTCCTGATGAGCTCGCACCTGGTCCACGGCATTTTCCGAAGCCGGGTTCTACTACTGCAAAAGTATGTGTTCAGCAACTGAGTGAAGCACCGATCCCCTCCGGCCGAGTCCAAATTTCACATCTTGTGTTGATGTGCTCGATACCAACGCAGCCGTTGGTAGCTACGCAGCGCTGCTTGCATTCATCAAGGGAAGTGACGCCTTGGGGAAGTTTCGTGAACCACGTAACCACGACACAATGGTGGCGAAATACAAAGGAGAAAGGCATAGAGAATTCAATATATATATATAATATGATATAATATATATATATAAAGATCTCTTTGCAAGGCCGCCAAAGGCTATCAAAAAGAAATCCTTCTGAACATGGTGCTGGACTAGAAGAGCTTGTCCCTCCTAAAGTTTGAGATTCGTTGTAGCTTCTCTGAAGTTTCCTTGCTCTGTTCTTCCTGCAAGTGACTTTTGACAATGAAGTAGTCCGGATGATTATCTGTTGGAGATGCTCCGCGGCACACCCTGTCAACACCTCCATCAACAGGTTCAAAGCCGCTCGAGGAGTATGTTGTGGAAGCTGTGGTCACTCCAGGTGTTGTAGTCACTGTGGTTGTGGTAGTGGTCACAGTGGTTGATAGCGTATCTGTGGTGCTTGTCGTCGTTGCTGACTCTGGTTTCCACGTACCTTGGCACGTATCTTCGCAGTTTGACTTTGATTGATCGCAAAAGTCATTCCCTTCGCAGCCACGGTTGGCATCCCAATAGCAGCAGCCTGCACCGGAAAGAGTTGTGGTGACGGACCCACTCTGAGACGTGGTCGAAGTTGTGGACCCTGTGGACGACCCCCCACAGTTGACTGGCAGCCCATCCCAATATGCTGCTCCCTCACACATCTCCTTCTGAGCACCCTGTACTGGACAAATCATATTGGTGGCAGTTGCCTCTCCAGCACAGCTTCCCGGATTGCTCGGATCCCAAGCAGTGCATTCACAAAAGCCAAAATTACCGGTCGGCGTAAAGACCACAATATTGGTGTCACTTGAGCGTGCGTCTGAGCCGTACGTATCAGCAGCACTAAGACAACAAGCTTCCGAATTCCAATTTATGTAGATGTCGGTCTTGGACTTGTAGTAAACCTCAGAAGGCAAAAATATGCAAAGCTCGCAGGCAATATGTCCAGCCAGTGAAATCAGATGAAATCAGTATATAAGGCTCAGACCTTTGTGCCAACAGGAACGGTGTAGTCCCAACACACTCTGCCCTCCTTCTCCTCCCGTGGGCTTCGCTGCAGTTCCACAGGTGGCTCTGTCCAAATGCACTCAGTGCTTGGAGGCCTACACAAAAGTAAAATCCGAGACCGCCGAGATGCGTTACAACTCATAATTCCTAGAATGTGCACAATGTTGCCGAGAATCCCTGTCGTTGTAACTGTAGCCGTGGTCGGTGCCGCGGTGGTTGAACTCCCTCCAACAATTTCTGTGTCCAAGCAAGAGACAAATATCTCATCGGTGTATTTGCATACCTTGCGCTTGCCACTTGCGAGCGTCCAATTGCATCGAATCAAAAGTCTTCGAAAAATGGTTTGCAGTGTGTTGTTGTTGAGGCGCTTATTGCCCAAGGAACCCACAACCATCGGATGGACACAGGGCCAGAAGGCATGTCTGCTGGCAGGTCAACTGTTTGCGGAAAAGTCTGGCCTCGGGATGAAACACGCGCACAAAGCACATCTGTCACCTCGCGAAATCAACTCTTTGCTCTGCGATCCAGGCCAGATTTCCAGTGGTCATCCCTTGGATTTCGTGAGTGTCTTCATGAAAGCATCAACGATTTGTCAAAGTGAACGTGGACAATTCGACCAGCCCTTGCAATCCAAATCAGTTTCTTGCTTTTTTATACTTGCCTGGCGTAGCATGAAGGATCCTGGAGGCATGTCGAATGCCAAGTCTCGTGTTCGTTGCATCCCAATATGAATGGACATCTTCCCAGTCAGACAAAGGTCTGTCTCGGAAGCACTTCTCCTGAATAGACATTGTTCCATTCCGATGCCACCATGTCCCAAGTCTGTTCCAACAGTGCTCCAAGTTGCTGTTTGTGCTTCCGAGTGGGGACAATACTGGAAGATAGCATCTCCATTGTGGTCTGCATCCAGCCTGTTTGTCAACTCTATGTGGAAAGCCAAGTTTTCTACAATAGCCGCCAAGGAGCACAATTCTTGTCTGCATTGCTCCACCAGCTGTGTATGTGGCTTCTGCAGCAGCTGCATGTGAAGAATAGCCTGGGCCCGGGCCAAGAAAACCAAAAGAACACAAATTGAGTTAGACACAATTGCTTCTGCGATGTGTTTCGAAAATACGGTGCAGATCTTCTGTGATTGGGCCGCTCATGGGGGCTCCGGGTTCTTGGTTCCCGGATTGGTGTTTTTGGTTCCCGCGGTGTTTTTTCTTCCCGCGTTGGTGTTTTCGGTTCCCGCGGTGTTTTTGGTTGCCAAGTGGGTTTTTGGTTCCCGCGCGGCGGTGTTTTCGGTGCCCGGCTCGGTTTTTTCAGTGCCCGCGGGTGTTTTCAGTTCCTGTGATGGTGTTTTCGGTTCCCGCCTTGCGTTGAAGAGGGAAAAAATGCGCAGATGTTTTCGGTTCCCGCGTCCGGTGTTTTCGGTTCCCGCGTTCCGTGCGTTTAGGTCTCCGGTGTTTCTGGTTTTCGCGTCCGGTGTTTTCGGTTCCGGTGTCGGGTGTGCTGTGATCCCGTGTGAAATGGTGGGAGTCTTGTGTTGTCGCGGGACAACGCGAAAGAATTTTTGTAAAGACACGAACAAACACGAACCACCAAAAGCCACAACCACTACCACCACCACCACCACCACCACCACGACCACCACGAACAACAGCAACAACGACCACAACAACAACCACAACAACAACAACAACAACCACGACGACGACGACGACGACGATTAACAACGACGACCAACAACGATCAACAAACAACATGCGAAAATCCACGACAACAACAACACCAACACCACCACCACCACGACCACGACCACGACCACCACCACCGCCACCACCGCCCATTGACAAGCTACGTCACAGTG